TTTTTTTTTTTTTTTTTTTTTTTTTTTGTCTTTTTTCCGTGTCCGGCAACGGATCGCAACCCTCAGTGTTGCCCCCGTACCGGACCGGGGACCGGCAACAGGATCGCAAGCCTCGGTGTTGCTCCCGCGCCTTGCTCAGCCAGTGAGCGGGAGCCGGTCTGTATGTGGGATCCGAACCCTCGGACGGGAGCGCCGCCGCGCTTCCCAAGTGGCGCACTATCCAGTGTGCCACCGGGCTGGCCCCCACATTACAATCTTTTTGATCTTTGCCAATGTGATAAAAGTGGCTCCCAATATAATTTTAATTTGCATCTGTCATTATGAGAGAGGTTGAAGAGCTACTTGGATTTCCTTTTCTGTAAACTGTCCTTTCAATTGGGTTGTTATTCTTTTCCTTATTGATTTGTAAGGGTTCTTTCTATACTAAATAAATTAGGCTTTGCCTGTGGTATGTGTTGCGACTATTTCCTCCCAATTTCTCATTTGTCTTGCCTTGTGTATGGTGGTTTTTGTCAAGAAGATTTTTATTTTATACTTTCACTTTTGGTTTCTGGGTTTTCTGTCTTATTAGGAAGGACTTACCACTCTAAAATTATTTAAAATTTTGTCCAGTGGTTCTTAATACTTTAATGGTTTCATTTTTTATATTTATCCATTGGAATTTTGGTGTTAAGAGTAAGGTAAACATCAAGTTTACTTTTTCCCAACTGGATACTTAGGTACTACCATACTTTATTAAATAATTCATTCCCCCATCACACTGATTTGAAATGTTATTTTTTATCATATCTAAATTCTGATATGTATTTGGGTATATTTCTTGCCTTTCCATTCTGTTCTATTGATTTGTCTGTCTATTCACCTATCTATACCACACTGTTTAAATTATTATAACTTTGTAGTATAGCTTAATATTTTGGTACAACTAATCAATGATCTGATGGCAGTCTTTGGATTATAACATTTAACACTTGGTTTTAGCAAACTATTTGTGTACTTTCATAATTCTAGATGCCTTATATTCCTTCTAGTATCTCTCTCTGGGGGGATGTTTGTGTCCTTTTTTTTTTAAGTTTATTTATTATTATTATATTTTATATTCTATGATGTTGTTGCAGAGCAGTAGGGGAGGAGGGGGAGAAGAGAAAGGGGAAGGAGATAGGGTGGGAGACAGGAAGGAGGAGGGGTGGGGTTGAGGCCTGTGGCACCCCCCTCATTCCTGCAGGGGAGGCCAGGAGGCTTCCAGCAATGGCTTGGTCATTGCTAGGCTGGGTGTAGATGTCAGGGGATTGTGGCTGAAGCCCTTGGCCCCACCACTCCAGCTCAGAAGCCTGAGGCACTTCTTGCAGCAGCTTGGTGGTCATTGCTGTGATGGTTGTGGATGCTGGGGGGGCATGGCTGAGGCCCTTGGCCTCCCACCACTCCAGCTTGGGAGAGCCTGGGGTGCTTCCTGCAGTGGCTCAGAGGTCATTGCTGGGCTGGTTGTGGGTTTTGGGAGGGATGGCTGAGGCCCCTAGCCCTTCCCCCTTCCTGGCTTGGTAGCCCAGGGGACTACCAGTCCTTCTAGGTTTTATAGGTGTTCTTTGGTGATGTGAGACCTTTACTAGTTAATATCAAACTTTGTCTCTGGTCTGTGGGTGTTTTGTTTTTTCTTTCAGATCTGTTTTGGGTTATTTGCTATTCCTACCACTTAAACTCTGCACTGGAACTAATTTGTTGTCCTTTGCTTATTTCTGAAATGGCGGAACTTCCTGTGGGGACCAGTACTTGAGCTCTGTGGTTGAGCTAAATTGCTGCTTTGCTGCTGATTCCCTGGGCAGGCTTTTTGTGCATCTCAGGTTTTAATGGACCATCCACATCAATTTGCAAGGAAAAAATTAATCTTGTTGGCTTTACAGGTACTTCCAGGTCTCATGAGATCTGGTACACTTGGGTTTTGTAGAAACTCTGATCTGGGCCTGAGTCTTTTCAGCATACTGCACCCCCTGCAGTTCTATATTCCTGACCAATCTCCACTGAGTGGTCCTACACTGATTGGGGGGCAGATTAGCTGTCCTTGCTGTGTCCCAGTATTCTCCCTGTGGGCCTGTCTCCCCCACTGCCCACACTCCAAACACTTCCCATGGGACAGGCATTGTGCTGGTCCCTTGTGATGACTCACCGGCCTCTGAGTGACTCCTTTTTTCAGTTGTTGTGGCTCCTCAGTCCTATGTGGGTCCACGGGAACCCTATTAGTTGTCTTGCTGGCCTGGGGGCCACTAAGGCCCTCTTCTCCCCTGTCATCTCTGAGAAACTCCCTCTGAAAGGCACAGCTGTGGCTTTTGCCAGCTCCTGCTGCATATACTCAGCAGCTCCAGCCTGGAAGTGGCCGGGGCTCTAAACGGTTGGAGCAGTTCTTTCTTTCTCTCATTGTGGCTTCTCCTGCCTTCATGCACTCCATAGATCTCTCCTCCTCTTCCCCTGAGCTCTAGTGGCCCCAGCTTGGCTGTTGTTGCTTTTTTATCGTTATAATTTTGTTGATTTGTGGGAGAGAGTGATGCTGGGAACCGTCTATTTCACCATCTTGACCTGAAGCCCATGTGCTGTTCTTTAGGGCTCTCTGCCTCCCAGACAAACTCAGAATAAGTTGACTAGCCATCTTCATAAATGCAAGGGATCTTGGATTTGAGTCAAGAGATGTTTTTCCTGGGAATTATCTGATCACTCCTTGTTCTGTTGGTCAGGTCCATGGACTTCCCAATGGGCAGGACTGTGTCTTTGTAGTACTTGGCAAAATGCCTGGTATCAAGAAGCCCTCAGTAAGTGTATGTTGAGCAGATGGATGGATTGATGAATGAGGGAATGAACACCTGCCTGCCACAAGAGTCTTCTCTCATGCATGCATCTCTTGGAGCATCCTCTGGCTTCACAGGAAGGAACAGAACTGGGACATAATTTCTGGGGTCCTGTCCTAGCTCCTTGCCTGTCCTCCTGTCCAAGAGAGCAATGCTGAGTGAACAAGGGCAATGAACCCCACTTATCCTCCTCCCATTGCCTCACACACATCAAGAGGCTCTGAGAATTTCTGCTAGCTTTTTTCTTGTGTCTCCCCTCATTTTTAATAGCAGTCAGCTAAATCGTCACCCTTATTCATCACCTCTCTTTTTTCTACACCAAACTTTTGAGTAAAGCAAGTGGGATGGCGAGCTAATCAATACAGCTAACTATAACAGCCAACTCTTATGCCATGTTTAGTATGTGCTAGTTTCTGTCTCAAATTTTCTACCTATTTAATAATTGAATACTTACACATTTATGTGTGTGTGTGTGTGTGTGTGTGTGTATAATTGCTTATTATGCCTGTTGTGTGAGGAAAGTAAGTTAACAGAGAAGTTTAGTAACTTGCCCAGGGCCATGGTGCTTGTAAGTGAATGAGCTGGGATTTGAACCAGGGAGTCGAGCTCTAGAGTCCATGCACTTAAACACTATAGCCTTTTTACTTGGCATGCGCATGTGTGAGTTAACTTCATCGAAGTGTAACATAAAATACAGAAAAGTGCACAAATAAAAAGTGTTTGGCTCAAAAAACATAGTGTATGGATCAACGCATTTTCACAAAATGAGTGCACCTGCATACTAGTACCTAGCCCAAAGAACAGAACACTACCACCACCTCCCAGGTGTACCAGTAATGCCCCCTCCCAGTCACTACCCATTCCTCACTAAGGGTCACCACTTTCCTGACTTCTCTCACCATTCTTCTGGGAGTTTTTTCCTCGTCCTTCTATTTTAATCACACTTGTAATTCAAGCATCATGGGGTCTGTTGCTAAAGTTAGAAATATTCTATCTTGCAGAAGTAGAGATGGCGGTGGTTGAGAAAACACAGAAATAATTAGCTAAAAGAAATAATTTAGGGTGGGAGAGTTAGGGGGAAGTTGCTCCGGTTTCCCCACGTTTTCTTTGCAGTACGTGTAAGAGTCTAGTCTTTCCTCCCCTCCCCCTCTGGACTACATCTCCCAGCAGGCTGTGCTCTGACAGCTCTCAGATTTAAATAGGATTCTGGGCTCTGCTTAGAGGCAGGCTGTTGCTGAGCAAGAGAGAGAGAGAGAGAGAGAGAGAGAGAGAGAGAAAGAAGAGAAGAGAAGAGAGAGAAGCGAGAAGCAGCCAAGAGTTAGAGCCAGTCCAGAAGCCCGAGCCCGAGTTGAAGGTGAAGCTTGAGCAGCAGCAACTAAAGAAGGGGAAATGATGCTGGTTACCTTGGGACTGCTCGTCTCCTTCCTTTCTTTCCTGTACACGATAGCTCCATCCATCAGGTTTGTCTTAATTCAACAACTCATAACAATAGTTTACAAAGCCCTGCACTGGAAGCTGGTTCTCTCCTGCTGAAAGAAGAGAAAGGGAAGGAGGCTGAGGGGGAGAAAGTAAGGGCAGAAAAAGCAGGATGGAAGTAGGGGTTATGGACACCTGGGGCTGGGTAGAGGCAGGGCTGATTTGAATTCTGATGCTAGTAGAAAGCTGAGCAGCTGACTGTTAAGTAGCTCAGCAGACAGCCTAGGTGGGAGTCCCTGCTCTTTCACTCTATTCCCTTGGGTTTCTCTGAAGATCTACCTTTCTTCTCTGACAACCTGCTGGGTTGTCATGGGTGGTCATTGTGGAGGGACTCATCGTTAAGTACCAGGCACTTTGGGAAAGAAACAAATAAACTCCCTTCCCTTTGAAACTACCCTCAACTAACGATTTGGGATGGCTCTTCTGCTGTGGGATTTCTGGAAGTGTCAAAGAAATGTGTGTTCTGAGTGGGGGAATTTAAAAATTGCTGCTGATGAGGAAGGTTAAATAGACTTAATCAGGGACAGAGTGTTATACTAGATCTAGTCATAGAGACTTGGGTTCAAATTCCAGTTCTGTTGCCATTAGAAGTAACTTCAACTTTCTTAATTGTCGATTTTATGCACAGTAATGTGGATAAAATTAAGGATTAAATTATACTGGACTGGCTGGGAGGGTTAAAATATATTACATATAGGAAGTGTCTAGCCTTGTGCCTGGCAGTTGTGATGCTCAGGAAATGTTAGTTCTGCCTCCGTCTGGTCTTTGTTTTTGGAACTTGTGAAGTCAACTTCACATGAAAAGGTGCACTTTGCACAGAGGTCTGAACAAGGGAGGTTTTCTCTCTGTGCTCTGATGGCCAGAATGAAATCCCTAATATGATGACAGAAAGTCTCTGAATGCCCTGCTCTCCAAAGCTGGAGAGGCAGCCTAAGGGTGGTATTTGTGTATGCCACCCCCAGAGTGCTGTTCTTCAGTTACTCAGGTTGATGCTGATTGAAGACCTAGGACTTGGGACCATTGATTCCACTAATGTGCATCTCACCTATGTTTTGAATGCAGGTTAGAGGAGGAAGCTGACCTCTGGGAACCTCTAGAGATAAGAGCTAGATATCTTTGTCTAACAAGGAAGATCTCCACTGGTCCTGGCTTAAGACCACTTACTCTGCCCAGATGATCATTTGTCATTTCTGGGCATGTGACTCTCTAATCTGTGATGACGAGCAGGCTACCTTGTCCAGTGGAAGAACATTGTCCGTGAAGATTAGCTTCTTTGGGTCTCCTGACTACAACTTACAGATATCCCTCTTTGAAGCTGGATGGCTTTGTTTTATGTATTTCAACGTGGGGTTGGGAAGGGCATGTGTGACACTCTTGTTTCCCTTGCTGATAGGAAGTTCGTTGCTGGCGGAGTTTGTAGAACAAATGTGCAGCTTCCCGGGAAGGTGGCAGTGATCACCGGCGCCAACACGGGCATCGGCAAGGAGACGGCCAGGGAGCTCGCTCGCAGAGGCAAGTCCTTCTGCTTTGGTGTCCACAGGGCCCTGCCTCCCGTCCTTCTCTCACTGGGGGCTCTGCACACATTTTTTTGTCTTTCCTCTTGGGCTCAGAGGCTCACTCTCTGGCCTTTATCAAACCTTCCTCCCTGCTCCTTCCCTATTACATAAAGCAAGAAAAAACAATGGTGTACCTGGATAATATTGGTCAAGCCAGTTGTGCTAAAAAGAGATACTAGGCAACATTAAATATCAGGGAGTAAAACCAGCATTCCCATCCTGAAGTTAAGCTGATGGCAGGAAGACCGAGTGGTACTACTGTGAGAATCCTGAAGTGACAATTTGGCCACTCCACTGCTTTAGGGATGGCTGGGAAAATGCTCTGTCACCCAGTCCCAAGCTCACTTATTAAACCTCTTTTTCAGCCTAGGATCTGAACACATTGCACTCTCTCTGTTTTGGCCCCAGGAGCCCGAGTGTACATTGCTTGCCGAGATGTACTAAAGGGGGAGTCTGCTGCCAGTGAAATCCGAGCAGATACAAAGAACTCCCAGGTGCTGGTGCGGAAATTGGACCTATCCGACACCAAATCCATCCGAGCCTTTGCTGAGGGCTTTCTGGCAGGTGAGACACTGGCGGGTAGCTAGAAAAGCAGAAAACTGGGTATGGGAGTGGCTGCTCCACCCAGGACCATTGGAGGCTCTTACATCAGAACCATCACCAATTCCACTAGACAGGTTCTGCTGCATGAACCAGCAGGGCAGGGAATTGGCAAGGGGATGGTAGGTGGACAAGCTGAGCAGGATCCTTATCGTTTTTTGCCTCAGCAGTGGGAATGTTGAAGGTGTCATCACCTTGTCTGGGCTTGTACCTTGGCATCAAAGTGTAGCCCTCATGCCATTCTCTTCTTTTATCCTGAGAATCAACCTTCTGTGGCCACAGGTACTAGATGAGGTTGTGCTGCTGCCAAAATTCTCTGGGTCTTGGAAAATGACTTGCTTCTACCAAGGGCTATGTAATCCATGAGGGGCAGGGACCATGTCTACCTTCTTTCACCCCTGGAAATCCAGTGCCCAGCAGAGTGGGCCTGTCTCAGAGTTGGTAGTCAGTATACATTTACTGAATAAATGAATGAATGGTGTCCAGGAAGATATGAGTAACTAAAATTAGAAACCCAATGACAATGGTTATTGAATATCACTGAGATAGGCCCAAATGGAGGATAACTTTTGACTTGCAAAGGCAGTACCTTATCTTAGAAGAAAGGAGCAGAGAGAGTGACTCCTACCAAAACCTTGTCCCAGCAAGGAGAGCTCATGAACAAAGGCAAGGGGCAAATGCTGAGGACTGTGACAGGAGCTAGTAGACTCCTTGCTAACCACAGGGTGTCCTTGGTTGTGCTCTGTAGAGGAAAAGCAGCTCCATATTCTCATCAACAATGCAGGAGTGATGATGTGTACATATTCTAAGACAGCTGATGGCTTTGAAACCCACCTGGGAGTCAACCACCTGGGTAAGTATCTTTGGGTGATTGAAAAGTGAGGCATATCCCAGCTTGTTCTCTGTAGGTAGATGACCCTATACCAGTACTGAGAATCTCTAGTGGTCCTCATAGAGCCCAGGATTCCAATAAACTGGACACATTGGTTTGTTGTTCACCGTCCCTCTCCTGACCAGTCTAAAAAAGTGAGATCTTCCCCAAATCTCAGGAGATACCAGGGAGAAAATGTCATTCTTGGATGGGGCAGTTGCAGTGAAAGTCCTGGAGGTGCAGGAATATGGTTTTGGCTGGAGGGGGTCACATCCATATTGAGGGCCAAGCAAGCCAAGGGTTGGTCCACAGCAGCAGGCAAACCTTGAGAACTCGAGATACGAGACAGGCTGGAGTTCAGAGTTCAAGGTGATGGCTTTAGAGAGGAGAGCATGGAGCATGTTCTCTGATCCTAGACAAATGTTATTTTCACTGTTTTATCCTTCCTACTGTACATGAGTGTACCTGGACCCACAGTGGTGCAATCATGGCCAGAGGTGGAGTTAGAAGCCAGCAGGTGGTTGTTTCTTCTGACTGGGGCAAAGGTAGAGGTACAAATAAGTATAGATTAAGCACCATTGCCTTGCCTATAGTCTAGCTCTGGCTCTTGCTTTTAGGAATCCTCTAACTCAGACCAACTGATCATTAGAACTGAGTTACTCATGGCATCAAAATTTGTTCACAACCAGAAGATAGTGAGTTCATGCTGAAGTCCTGTTATCAGCTCCCGCACCCCAAGCCTGGGCTGCCATTCTACCCTTCCATCTCCCCTGCTGGCTCTTCTCGTAGGTCACTTCCTTCTCACCCACTTGCTCCTGGAGCGACTAAAGGAGTCTGCTCCTGCACGGGTCGTGAATCTGTCCTCGGTGCTCCACCATATTGGCAAGATTTGCTTCCACGACCTCCAGAGTGAGAAGCACTACAGCAGGCTGTTTGCCTATTGCCACAGCAAGCTGGCCAATGTGCTTTTCACTCGCCAGCTGGCCAAGAGGCTCCAAGGTAAGTCTGGAGAAAGGGCCAGAGTTAAAATAGCAAAAATAGGCTTATCAGTCCAGATTAGATGCTCACAGAAACTTCTGAAGTCAGACTGTCAAACGTGCACATTTCAGTAGCAGTTCTGTGCACTAAGGAGAATGAGATTATAAGTGGAACAGAATCATAGTCTTTGCCCCCAGCCAGTGTACAATTGAATAGGGGTTAGGAACCTCATAAAGTTACCTTACATTTATGTCACATCTTCTATCTGTTATTTAATTTTCACAACCCTTTGCAACAGGCAGAGCTGGTATTATTCCTATTTTATGGATCAGAACCGAGGTTCAAAGAAATGGCTGGCTCAAGGTTATATGGCAAGTGAAGGAGTCAGAATTGAAATGTGGGTGCTTTGACTTAAATCCAGGGGGCTTCCTGCTGTATGCCATTTGCTGAGGTTCACATGGTGAGCTAAGCTACAGAGCTGCCACTTCCAGGAGTCAGAGAGTCTGAGTTCTCACTCTACCACATCCTAGCCCCGTATGTATGTGGACATGTCCTTTTAATTTCCCCTGACTTCACCTCCTCAGCCGTAAAATGAGGTGAGGCCGGCTCTCCAGCCTTAATGATTCTGTGCTCCCCCGGATTTTTGGGTGAACTGCTGGCTCTGCAAATCTGGAGCACCATTTGCTACAGTGAATAAGCCAGAGTTTGGGAACAATAGAATAATAGGGTAATCATAAAAATAATAATAATTACAGTAATAATTGATACTTTCATATGTGCCATGCACTGTAGTACTCAGTACAGTCCTATGAGGCAGGTGCTGTTATTTTTCCCCACACTGCAAATGAAGAGACAGGCACGGATATATTAAGAAATTTGTCCAAGCAATTCTTCTAGCTGAGCCAGGATTCAAATCCAGACAGTCCAGCTCTGGAGTCCATGCTCTTTACTCTAAGTCAGGTTTCAGACCTTGGCCCTGCAGCCTGCAAACTATGATCTTGGGCAATTTACTTAACCTCTCTTTGACTCAGTTTCCTTAGCTCAAAATGGGCTTCTTAATATTACCTACACAAGCCTCTTTAAGAATTAAATGAGATAGCATATAGCACAGCCCTTGCACAGCCTAGGTACTAAAAATAGCGGTGGTATTGGGGGTGTCTTGGGGGACATGTTAACCCCCCATAACCTTCATCAACACCCCTACATGTGCACCTCATAAAATGTGCTTGTCAGGCAGATGTAGCTCAAAACAAGGTCATAAACCCCTACTTTCTAATCAGATTGCTATTGTTCAGCCCCTCCTATAGAAACGGTAAAAATACCCCTGCCAATAATTGATAATACCACTTACTACATGTTGTTTTTCTTGTTAGTACTTAAGCTACTAGCAGAAAGATGACATTGAAATAGAAGGATCTTGAACCAGGCACTTCTTTGGGAACATAGAAGGCTAAGAAGGCTACAGATCTTTCTGGAAGAGATCAATTCATTGCTGGTCAGATTCTGTCTGGCTAGGAGTGGTGCCTTCTGAACCCTGGGGTTAAGTTTCCTGAGTCCCTTCTTACTTGTGTATTTTGCTGCAGGAGATGAGCTGTTTTCCTGGGCTCAGAGTGTGTCCCTGGTCTCACTGTGCCCTCTTTGCCCTAGGCACGGGGGTCACCACCTACGCAGTGCACCCAGGCATTGTCACCTCAGAGCTGACCCGGCACTCGTTCCTGCTGTGTCTGCTCTGGCAGCTCTTCTCTCCCTTCATCAAGTCAGCACGAGAGGGGGCGCAGACCAGCCTGCACTGCGCCCTGGCTGAGGGCTTGGAGCCCCTGAGCGGCAAGTACTTCAGGTGCGTGGAGGCCACCTGGCTTCACTTCACCACTCCTGTGTGGGGGACACACGGGACTCCCTGGGCTTTGCGCCCTGAGCACCGAGTTTATGCCTGATGATGGAATCCAGGTTTGGGTTGGGCCTGCAAACCAAAGGCTGTTACTTTCCCAAGGAAACTGACATTAGCAACTTGGAAAGAGTTGCTTTTATGGCTTTATTTTATGTCCATGTTTCCATGTAAATTTTGTAGCTTTCTGGAAGCTGTTAAAGAAGACTATTCAGTGGCGCTGCTGGTGTAGTGGTATCATGCAAGATTCCCATTCTTGCGACCCGGGTTCGATTCCCGGGTGGCGCAGCTACAGCTCTTCACTTATTTTGGCCAGCCCGTGGCTCACTCGGGAGAGTGTGGTGCTGATAACACCAAGGCCCCGGGTTCGGATCCCATATAGAGAGGGCCGGTTAGGTCATCGGGTGAGCGTGGTGCTGACAACACCAAGTCAAGGGTTAAGATCCCCTTACCGGTCATCTTTTTTTAAAAAAAAAAAAAAAAAAAAAGAAGAAGACTATTCCTGTTAACCGTGGGAAGATGTTAGCAGGCCCTTTTTCTCCTCCTTCAAGCTTTTGGCTGACTTGATTCCTGAGTTCTTGACTAGCACAAAGTGCTGAGGGAAGGTCATCTCTCCCTGGCATGAACTCAGTCTCCCAATGCTGCTAAGACTGGCACTATCTGTTGGAATACAGATACAGAAATTTCAGTGCTGAATCTTATCACAACTCAATGGCCAGTAAGAGTTTGGGAACAAAGGGAATCCCAGGACTAAATCTCCTTCCCATTCCATGACTTAATCCAGCTCAGTCTGCTCTGCTGTCCCACTTGCTCAAGGCTTTTCATCCATGCACCATTTGTTAGGTGAAGCATTGGAAATAACCTCAGTGTCCAACAATAGGGGAATGGATAAATGATAATAGATGATGATGCATGACCTCTTGCTGTGTGTTTGGCACTCTTCTAAGTGTTTCATGTGCATTAATTCATGTAGTCATCACAACTCCGAGAGGTAGGAAATATTGTTATCCCCATTTTACAGATGAAACTGAAGCACAGGGTAATTAAGAAACTTGCTGAAGGTCATATGGCTTGCAAGTGGCAGGCCTGGGATTTATACCCAGGCAGTCTAGCTCTAGAGCCATGTTATTCCTTATGGTTGCTGCTAGTCACGTGTGGCTATTGAGCACTTGAAATGTGGCTAGTGCAAATCGAGATGTGCTGTAAGTGTAAAATGCACACCAGATTTTGAAGACATAGTATGGAAAAAAAAATGTAAAATATCTCATTAATAATTTTTTATATTGATCACATGCTGAAATAAGTTGGCTATATTGAGTTAAAATAAGTATATTACTAAAATTAATTTCACCCATTTCTTTTTACTTTTTAAATGTGGCTACTAGAAAATTTAAAATTACATATGTGGCTTACATTTGTGGTTCACATTTCTATTGGACAGTGAGAATCTGAGTGTTTAATGTCACTGCCTTAAATATGTGATAAAATATTATACGGTCATCAAATATAATTTGAAATAATATTTAATTAGTGTGAAATGTTGGTGATATGACATTGTGAGAAAAAACTGCAATGCAAAACTATGTAATTATTCATTGTAAATACATAGAGAACAGTCTGGAAGGATACCCAGCCACTGGGCAATAGTGGTTACTTCCAGGGAATTTGAGAGAGAGTCAGGCAGAGTGTGAAGGAGGATTTTAACTTTTCATTCTAGGTATTCATGCAGGTGGGCGGGTGAGGAAGCATTGAAGGTGCAGGATCGCAGCCCTGAAGGATGTGTCACAGGGCTTCTGAGAAACAAGAGGCCCATGAAGCTAGAATCCAGGGTGTGGGATAGGGCTGGAGTGGTCAGTGGCCCAATCAGGCAGATTCAGGGGATTGTCGGACTGTGCCATTCCACTGTCCATCCCCTCCCCAACCGCTGGAATTGGTTCTGGTGCCTAGGACCAGTCTGTGCCATTTTCCCGTGAGCCCCTTTAAGCCATTTGAAGCCAGCGATTTATAATTCACCAGTTATTGTCTTCACATCTTGTCAGCACACTTTGGTATTGAAGGATCTTTGGCTTTGTAGCCTTGAGGTTAATAAATTTTTTAAAATTAGGAAAATGGACATAGAACTTACTTTGTAAGGTTGTTCTGAGAGTTAAATGGGGGGAGGTATGTACAGCTCCTGGCCTGCCCAGCTCTTGTGGGTGGCCGATAAACTGTTAAAAGCCTAAATTGTTAAAAAGAATCTTGGAAATTGGCCTTTAACCATTCATACAGGTTGAGTTCAATTTTATTAAGAAATGTGACAGGACAGGCCTTGTTCTAGCCACTGAAGCCATTGTCCTAGGTAACGAAGGCAAGAGTCTGTCCTCATGGCGTTTTCTTGCAGTCTCTCAGAGCCCAATAAAAATTTTTGCCAGGTGAGAAAAGAATATTACTTTCATTAATTTTATCAGTACTGTTAACCAGTACTGGGAAAATTTTGGTTGATATAAACAAGGTGACTGTCATTGATGTTTGAATTTTCATTTTGAAGAAGCCTTCAAGGGAGAAAAAAACACTTCTTGATTACAGGATAGAAATGTCTACTGTATTAATTTGCTTGGCTTTCCATAACAAAAGTACCACAGACCAGGTGGCTTAAACAACAGATTTATTCCGTTATGTTTTGGAGGCTGGAAATCAGAGATCAAGGTTTTGGCAGGATTGGTTTGTCCTGAGGCCTGTGTCCTTGGCTTGTAGATGACCATCTTCTCGCTGTGTCTTCACATGGTCTTCCCTCTATGTGTGTCTGTGTCCTAATCTCCTTTCCTTATATGGGCAGCAGTCACACTGGATTAGTGCCCAAACTAATGACTTTGTTTTAACTTGATTACCTCTATAAAGACCGTAATAACTTCGTATAGCATACATTATACGAAGTGCTCCCGCACCTCACTCAGCCAGTGAGCGGCCAGTCTGTATGTGGGATCCGAACCCTTGGTAGGAGTGCCACCGCGCTTCCCAAGCGGCGCACTGTAGCAGTGTGCCACCGGGCCGGCCCAAGACCACAACTTTTTATTATGGAAATTTTCAAACAGACAAAAGTAGAGTAAATAGTATCATGAGTCCCCATGTATCTGTCATCCAGCATCAACATATTAACATTTTGACTATCTCATTTCATCTGTTTCCCCCCATAACATTTTTGGGGGCAGGGAGTGGGATATTTGAAAGCACATTACAGGTATCATACCATTCAGTCGTAAATACCTGTGTGTGTTCTTTACAAAGCCATACACCATCATCACTCCCAACAACATTAATAATTCCTGAATGCCATCTGGTACTTGGAGTTCAGGTTTCCCTGTTCGTCTCACAAACGTCTTTTTACTGTTGGTTTGTTCAAATCAGGAAAAAAGGAATGGTCGTTCGGAAGAGAGGAAGGTTTTCTTTCCAGAGCCCCAGCAAATCTCCTTGTGGCTCATTAGCCTGAACTGAATACTGGGCCAATCATGTGGCTAGGGAGGGGCTATGCTAATTGGCTCACACCAATCACTATCCACATCTACAGCTGGGGCCCGTCCCACCCCCCTCCACCCTTGGGGAAGAATAAGTTTTCCTCATTAATTAATAAGTGAGTCACAGGAAGAAATTTTCTGTCTTCTGTTGGATGTTGTCCTGGCTAAATGTGACACCTGAGTCTGTCACAATCATCTCAAGTTCACAAGTGGAGCTGAGCTGGCCCAAAGACTAAGCTTACATGCTGAGTATGGTGGAAGGAAGGACGGAAAGAAGCGGCATTGCTGATGATGTAGCAGTGAGTCACTGAATTAACCAAAACTGGAGCTGTTCCCTCCCTTGAGACTTGTTACATGACATAATAAATTGTTCTTGTTGTTTAAGTCTATGCCCTAACTGATACAATAGTATTATGTTGAACCACATGAAATTGCTGATATTCAACTATTTTTTACCTACTTTCTTCACCATTATTTCTGGTCTAAGGCAGATGTCTCCCTGGCCTACTTTGATCACCCTTAATTCCTCATCTGCCAACTGAAATTTTTTTTTTTTTTGTCTTTTTCTGTGTCCGGCAACGGATCGCAACCCTCAGTGTTGCCCCCGTACCGGACCGGGGACCGGCAACGGGATTGCAACCCTCGGTGTTGCTCCCGCGCCTCGCTCAGCCAGTGAGCGGGAACCGGTCTGTATGTGGGATCCGAACCCTCGGGCGGGAGCACCGCCGCGCTTCCCAAGCGGCGCACTTATCCAGTGCGCCACCGGGCTGGCCCCTGCCAACTGAAATTTTGACACATATTTCATTATATTTTTCTCCACCCCCAAGATCTGTCATCTTCAGTTGATTTCAGTATCTGCAGGGATACATGACCTAACATCCTAGCACAGAGAATCCTGGGGTTTTTTCTGTTTTTGTTTTTGCAGACCCAGAGAATCTTAATAGTCCTGGTATTCTTCCACAGGTATTCATCCAAATTTTAATCTGTACAATCTATTTTTCCTATATATGGATATATGATATCTATTAGCTAAAACAATCAGCTGAGAAGATCACAAAACATGAAGTACACCTTGTTCTGATAGGAGGAGGAGATTAACTGCTGTAACAAACAATGCTACATTTTAGTGGGTTTATATAACAAAAGTTTGTTTCTTGGTCATGTCGCAGCCCAATGCAGCAATGGGGGTGGGAGGTTGGTCCTGTTCTACAGGCCACTAAAAAATGAACGGTTTCACCATCCCCCCAGGTCCTCAGAGTTTTCCACTGGATCCCCTGTATCCAGCAGGCAGATGATGGAAGAGAGAACATCTGGCTATTCTGTTTCTAGACCAGTGATGTTCAGGTGAGTAATAAAATAAAGACATATGTAATTTATAACATATTATATACTTAGCTCATAAAATTTATTTTTTCTGCTTTCATCTCAGTAAAGCCACTATGTGGCTATAATCATCCAATAATTTATGTTAAAGGATTTTAAAAAAGTGATTGCATTCAAAGTTTACACAATTTAATATTTTCATAAAAAGGGAAGTCAAAGAAATGCAAAAATAAAAATTATTTTTGAATGTTTTAGGTCGTTTTTCTTCTAAAATATTTAAATTATTAAATTAAAAGGCAAAATACATTATAGTTATGAATATCAACACTTTACATCAAAATTATTGATATAAAGCTCAACTTTTTTAGTTTTTAAAAATTTAATAAATTCTATAAATTTTTTCAAGAATAAAACTATT